GCCGCGAAGGATGGTCTTCATCTCAGGGATGCCAGAGCCTGGGGAGGGAGCAGTCTCAGGAGAGGCATTTGATGTGCCCATTTCAGGGGTCCCGCCTCTGCCCTCCCCTTCTCTTTGAATGTACCGACAGCCTGAGGGGCCAGGATCTGTGTGAATCCAGCTGAGAAAGTGATGAGGACGACCGGGTAGGTGACCCAGGCCAGGTACTGGAGCAAGATGCTGGCATTCAAGCCCCGGGACATCCACTGCTGAGCTGTGGGAAGAGGACCTGCTGGACCCCCAGGACACCCCCACTGCTGGGCTGTGGGAAGAGGACCTGCTGGATCCCCAGGGTACCCCCACTGCTGAGCTGTGGGAAGAGGACATGCTGGAACCCCAGGACACCCCCACTGCTGAGCTGTGGGAAGAGGACATGCTGGACCCCCAGGACCCCTATTGCTGGGCTGTGGGAATAGGACCTGCTGGACCCCCAGGACACCCCCACTGCTGGGCTGTGGGAAGAGAACCTGCTGGACCCCCAGGGCACCCCTACAGCCTGGCCACTGGACCACACTGATATGACAACCCGACCCATGGAATACCACACAGAGTCTGTGCATGGGGGAAGGAAAGGGTCCCTGAGAGCATTCACTGGGACAAAGCCAAATCTAGGCCAGAGGGTCGCTTGGAACGGGGAGGCAAGAAGCTGTGCCCTATGGGAGTGGCCAAGATTATGCCCGAATCTGGGCAGTCAGACTGGCTGGGGAAAGTGGTCAGTGGCCAAGAAGCCAAGATGCCTTCCTCCATGTCTAGACGAGTATGGCATTGAAGCAGGAGGGTTCTTCCCAGTTCTCCCCTGCCAGCTCTTGCCCTCACCTTGTAGACAGGCAGCAATGGCATAGTCCATGGCCCAGCTGACCAGTGCCATGAGGAGCCCCAGCAGAACCAAGAAGATCCAGTCTTCACCAACCCTGGATACTAGGAACTTGTGGCAGCGGACAGAACAGACTGGGTGCAGGGAAGGGAAGAAGCAGGAGGTTGGCACCAGAGTGCTCCTACCCCTTTTACCGCCCCCTCAACTGCGCTGTCCCCCATCAGCAGCTCTAATGGCCTCTGGTCCCTTCAGCACAGCACAGCACAGCCAGGTCCCCTGCCCCAACCCAGTTCTCACTGCGGCATCGGGCGCAACGGCTCCGTCCATATTCCAAGAGCTCTGGGGCAGCCCGAGGGGAAGGGGGACCCTTCCAGGGCTCAGGTCCTCCCAGGCGAATCCGAGCAGCTTCCTCTTTGGCAAAGGCCCCGAGGTCCTGAGTGTACCGGCCATACATCTGGAGCAACAGTGGGGATGGAGGTGTTCGAGGTCATGGGCCGAGTGGGGATGCAGGGAGGGTTCTTAGAGCCTCCACCCCCCTCTCCCAGCCCCCACACTGGGTATCCCTCTCAGAGGCACAGTTCCGATTCTGGCCTGTGGTGTGGGAACAATGCACATTGCAGACTGTGGGGGCTGTCCTGGCCAGATGATGGGGACAGCCAAGGTACAGGGACACAGCTCTGGGGGTGGCAGCATAATTGGTCCTCTTCTCACAGGCCTGGGGCGGAGGCACTGAGGAGGAGTGAGAGGGAAGGCCCCAGAGGAGGAAAAGATGGAAAACCTGTGGCTCAGTCTAAAAGTGGGAGGCGGAAGGTCAGGGAGTAAGGGGTGATCGAGGGCACATGGGCAGCAATAAGAGCCTCGTGGAGCTCGGGGCAGCTGAGTTGCGCCCAGGAGCAGGCGAGGCCCCAATCCTTATCACGTTCCTCCTGGGCCTCTGGCCTGTGATGAACTCAGCTGCACCCCTCCCAGCCACCCTAATCCCCTTGTCCCCATTCTCAACCGCCACCCACACCGGCCTGCCAGCCCAGCTAGGAGTGGAAAGCCTCTCGCCTAGGGTGGGTGGAGAGGTCTTGGTGGCCTCAGCCCCACTCTGGAGCTGCACTGAGCCCAGCAGTGGGCTGGGGGACAGTGGAGGCTGTGGATGGCTGGGCTGCAACTATGGATGCTGGGGTGATGGGACGGGAGAGTCGCCTGAACCAGGGCTAGACCTGCCAAGCTGGGCGTGTGTTGGGGGCGGGGAGGAGTAGATTCCGGCTGCCACCCGCAGAGCTTCGGGACACAAAGGGCTCCTGTTGGGGCTGGGATGGGGGGGAGGGAGGGAAAGATAGAGAGGGTGAGAGATAAAGAGTGAGGAAAGGGCAAGCAAAGAGAAGAGAGGGAACTAGGGAGGAGAAAGGAAAAGAGAAAAGGCAAGGCGAAGAGACGGGCAAGAGAAAGAAGGGATGACAGTGGAAGAAGTCGGGAGGAGGAAGCGAAGCACAGAGAGTGTAAAAAGGCAGGCACCGTGTAGGAGGAGGGAGGCGAGTGGGAAGGATGAAGGATGGGACGGGAACGGGGGAGGCTAGAGCTTAGAGTGCCTGGGACAGGGCTGGCCCCTGAGAGCTCATTCCAGAGACAGCTGGAAGGGACGGAGGTGGAGAGGTGGCCAGTGCAACAGAGGCACCAGGTACCTGGCTTCCTTGACCACGCTCCTATCCTGGTCTGGGCAGACTGACAAGTATCTCCTACCCCATCCCAAGGGATGGTTCCTTTACTCAGACCTACTCCCACCTCTCCCGGCCATCCTGATTCATCCAGCTACTCTCTCCTAACTGGGCACCTCCCAGACTCAGTTATAGCCTCTCTTCCCCAAGATGTTCCCTCCCTGCCACCTTTCTGGGCAAATTCCAGCCCAAACTGGTAGGGGCCCCTTCCTTTCTCTAGGGTTCGGTCTTCCACCTCAGTGACATGGGGGGGGGGGGTCACGTGGCTTCTCAAATGCCAAGTAACAATGGGGGCAATGAGTCAGCTCAGAGCCCAGGACCCCTGCTTCTAATGGGGTCAAGTGACACACCCTGGGGTGGGTGGGGGCTGGCTACCCCGTGTCAGAATGGACAAAGGTCCCAATTCCCACACCTATTCCTGCTTCACCCACCCTCCCTAAAGCTCCTGTCCCCCAGAGTGGCAAGCCACCTTTTTCCAGAGTCAACAGAAGGACTCCTGCCAACGCTGGGTGTGGAGCCCTCAGAGGTAGGGGCTGGGGCTGACCCTCTTACTACACACTGGATTCTATGCTTAGAACGGTGCCAGGCGCATGCCAGGGACACAGGGAATGTCTTGGGTGGCGGAGACAGTGGCGTGGAGAAAGTTCAATGGTGTGAATGGTGCCGCGGAAGGGGCAGTGGGTGCTGAGACTCAGGCCCAGGTGATGAGGGGAGAAGCAAAGAAAACGTGTGTGTTGGGGGGTGAAGGGAAGGGCACCTGAGACAAGTACCTGGTGTCCTTGTCCTCTGTAGGCCCTCAGCCTCAGCGAGAAGCCAGCATGCATCTTTCCATCCCTTCGGCCCCGCAGCCTCGGACTTCCGAGCCTCAGTTTCCCCAGCTCAAAAGGCTGGGACGGGATTCAGATAGGCCCTCGGTCCTCGCGCTGCCGAGGGTAACCTGGAGCAGCGGTCCCGGAGCGCACTCCGCGGGCTGGGCTCGGCTTCACTTACCAGGGTCTGCTCGTACTGCAGCGCCCGCGGCTCCATCCCCTCCTCCGCTGCCGCGGCCGACGCCATCTCCCTGCACTGCCCTCTCGCCTCCCTCCGGGGCTCGGGCTCTGCCCTCTACTCGGCTTCCGGCCCGCAGAGTCAGCGCCGGCGGCCGTCCCGTCCCCGCAGCCCGGGAGACCGAGAGCAGAGTGCGGCGGGCCCGGAGCGGGCGCCGCAGGCGCAGCCTCCGGCTCCTGTCCCCTCCTCGGCGGGCGGGCCGAGGGTGGTGCCCTCTGCGCTGCTCCGCCCGCCAGCCCATCCGGAGGGGCCGGCCCAGCCAGGCCGGGGTCCGCGCGGGGCCTCCCGAGAGGCGGTAGGGGGCGCTGAGCAGTCTGGAGCCCGCGCCGGCTCCCTGCGGAGGCCGGGGAAGGAGAGGGGCGCCCGGGGCCGGGCAGGGGCGGGTCCGCGGGCACGTGGAGGGGCCGGGCCGGGTTGGCGGTTCCCTGCGTCCGGGCAGGAGGGGCTGCAGATGCCCGAGCTCCGCAGGGCTCAGGGATGGGGGTGCTGAGTGATCTACATCGGACGCCTCCGGGTCAGCCGGTTAGAAGCCGCTTCCCCTCTCCCCGTCCCAAGGGACTTGCAGCTCTGACAGGCCTGTCAGGGGTGAGCAGCAAAGCTGGGAGGATTCGGGGCGGATCGGGGCCGTCTTCCTTACTCCTTCCTTTCCCGGGGCTGCCCCAGGGAGGTGCACCCGGAGCAACCCGGCCTGCGGGGTGTGCGGGGGTGGAGGTTGGGAGGGCCCCGGAAGGGGTAGGCCGGAGGAGGGGAGCTCCACGGGCCGGGAGTCCACGCCCGGAACGCGGGCGTGGAGAGCAGAGGTCGCTTCTCCCTGGCTGGGCTCAAGGAGGAACCCGAGTCGCTGCTGCTGTCCCTCCGCTTTCGGGGAACGGTCTGCTGGTGCTCGGGGTTCTCTGTCAGGGGCCAGGGAAGGATAGAAAAGAGGGCGGAGCGCGCGCAGGGTGGACGGGCAGCTGAGCGACAGTGTGAGAGGAGCGGGGGCGGCGCCCAGGACGCGGACAGGGTGCGGGAGAGCCAGTAGTACCAGAAGGAAGGGCTATTTGGGAGGCAGAGGCGGGGCTCGGGGGGCGGGGGCAGTGCCCGGGGAGGGGGGGGGGCCCTGGGAGAGAAGCCGCCACCCAGGAGGAAGGGCCAGTGCGAGGGAAGAGCTGGTATTCAAGGGAGAGGGCAGTGCTAGGCCGAAGGGGTACGGAGGGGATCCGTGTCCAGTAAACGGGAACGCAGAGTACCAAGCTGGAGGGGGAGTGCCCAGGGGGCGGGAGCCAGGCTGAAGGGGCGGTGCGCGGGAAAACCAGGGCCTGGGGGAAGAGGGCAGTGTCGTGGGGTGCCGTATGAGGGGAGGGGACCATGCAGCCTTTCCATTTCTCCAAAGCGACGTCATGGCAAATTCCCAAACTGGACGGATCCGGCTCAGGTTACATCCAGAAGGGCCCAGCCGGCCCAGGCCGGCCCCGGCGTCCTTGGTGTCTCCTGGAGGGGCTGGGCACCTCTGGGGCGGGGTTCTTCTCCACCTGCCCTCGGCGAGGACTGTGCCCTTGGCGGGCACGAGGACCGGCGGGATAGGGCTAGGGCCTGGCCGCTCTGGGCCAAGGATCAAGGTCCCTGCCTGGGTTAGGCCCCCACGCATTCCAATCTTCTGGACTCAGACTCTGAAGAGCGCGCAGTAAAGCCCCAGCGTAGCAGAAGCCGCTCTACAGCCGCGGGAGGTTGGACCTATTGTTTCCCCGCCCTGGGCGGAGCCACCTGGCCGTGAGACCCGCCCTCAATGCCGAAGCCTCTCGGAAACAGTCTTTCGGGGAGGAAGTTAGGTAGCCCCGAGAGGAAGATTGTGGCGGAAGTGGTCGCGTTACCGCCTGTTTGTGCGCATGCGCTACTCTTGTCTAGCTGCCGCCTTTCTGGAGGTGCTTTTGCTCATCTCCCTTCTCCACGCGAGGGGGTGCGCGTACTCCCAGCCGTGGTCGCGCGTTAACCCCTTCTGCTGCTCTCCTGGCCCACTTGCGATGGCGGGCATCCTGTTTGAGGATATTTTCGATGTGAAGGATATTGACCCAGAGGGCAAGAAGTTTGACCGAGGTAAGTAAGGTACGAGGTTTGGAGGAAGACGCTAACCTCGCGGACATGTCCCTGGGCCCCATGCCCACCCAGCTCTTGTGGCCTGCTCCTACCAGCAGGTCCTGATGTAGGGACCTCCCTCAGGAAACACTTTATGAATGAGAAAACGGAGACTCAGCTCTCTGGCTTCACGCATGCCGTGCTGGGTGTCTGGATGGCCTTTTGTCATAGTGCTGGCAAACTCCTGAGCATCTTTATAATCGCTGCCTACTCTGTGCTAGACACTGTCTTGTGCGGCTCATACACCCTTTGCCTTACTTATTCTTAAGAGACCTCGGCCGGGCGCGATGACTCACGCCTGTAATCCCAGGACTTTGGGAGGCTGAGGCGGGTGGATCACTTGAGGTCAGGAGTTCGAGACCTGCCTGGCCATCATGGTGAAACCCTGTCTCTACTAAAAATACAAAAATGAGCCGGGTGTGGTGGTGGCGCGCCTGTAATCCCAGCTACTCGGTAGGCTGAGGCGGGAGAATCGCTTGAACCCAGGAGGCTAAAGTTGTGGTGAGCCAAGATCGAGCCACTACACTCCAGCCTGGGCGGCAGAGCCAGACTCCATTAAAAAAAAAAAAAAATTATATATATATACGCTAAGCAGTTAACTAGTTAACTCTCAGAAAAGACTTCACTAAGCGCTAAAGATTCTGAGAGCGATACAAGAATATAGACTCTGAAGTTAGATTACTTGCTGTGCAGCCTTGGGTGAGTTACTCAAACTCTCAGAGAAAAACAGGGAAGGCACCACCCACCTCATGAAGACTCCTTTTTTTTTTTTTGAGATGGCGTCTCACTTTGTCACTCACACTGACTGGAGTGCAATGGTGTGATCTCGGCTTACTGCAACCTCTGCCTTCTGGATTCAAGCAATTCTCTTGCCTCAGCCTCCCAAGTAGCTGGGATTACAGGTGCCTGCCACCACACCCAGCTCGTTTTTGTATTTTTGGTAGAGATGGGGTTTCACCATGTTGGCCAGGCTGGTCTCCAACTCCTGACCTCCAGTGATCCACCTGCGTTAACCTCCCACAGTGCTGGGATGACAGGTGTGAGCCACCGCGCCTAGTCTCCATTTCTTTATTTTGTCATTGATCAATAATTTTCTCTTTGGTGTCTGTTTCTTTGCCTAGAGACTCAGATGTTTTTCAAGATGGATACCAGTCATTATACATCTTGATAACCCCCTCAGCACAGTGCCTAGCACAGAAAGAGGAAACCTTTGGATGATTCAATAACTTGCCCAGAGTCAGGTTCTCAGCCATCCAGGCAGGCCTAGAACCTGGATATTATTTGCTGCTGGAGTATCTTTAGTTGTTTTCTGGGGATTACGTTCACTTGCCACAGTTTTTCTCCTGATTTCCTCCTTGCATATCTGGGTCTGACTGAGCCTGCCTTAGAGGACATGAGAGACCAGTGGATGTAGGCTGGGTTAGATTGAGTATTCTGTTGCATACAATCCCACACTGTAGGATCTTCCCTGGGCCTGGCAATACCTCTCTTACTCTTTTTCCACTTTTCCCCAGTGTCTCGGCTACATTGTGAGAGTGAATCTTTCAAGATGGATCTCATCTTAGATGTAAACATTCAAATTTACCCTGTAGACTTGGGTAAGTATTGAACACAGACAATAATAAGAGGCTATTTGCTGCTTCAGCTATTCTTCACTCTCTGATATTGCTGTTATTTTTAGGTGACAAGTTCCGGTTGGTCATAGCTAGTACCTTGTATGAAGATGGCACCCTGGATGATGGTGAATATAACCCCACTGATGACAGGCCTTCCAGGTGAGGGAGTGGAGAAGGTGATACTTGAAATATGCCCTGAGGACTAAGTAGATAAGTGATATAGAAAGACTCTTCTGGCGGGGCACAGTGGTTCATGCCTGTAATCCCAGCACTTTGGGAGGTGGATCATGAGGTCAGGAGTTTGAGACCAGCCTGGGCAACATGGTGAAACCGCGTCTCTACTAAAATACAAAAAATTAATTGGGCATGGTGGTGGGCACCTGCATAGTCCCAGCTACTCAGGAGGCTGAGGCAGGAGAATTGCTTGAACCCAGGAAGCAGAGGTTGCAGTGAGCAGAGATTGGACCACTGAGTTCCAGGCTGGGCAACAGAACAAGACTCTGTCTCCAAAAAAAAGAAAAACGAAAGACTCTTCTTTAATTCCTAGAATAAATAATGATTAGCAGAATCTGAGTAACCTTAAGGAAATTTCTGCACTTAAGAATTCAAACAGACCAGGTACTATGGCTCACACATGTAATTCAAGCACTTTGGGAGGCTGAGTCAGGAGGATTGCTTGAGTCCAGGAGTTCAAGAGCAACCTGAGCAACATAGTGAAACCTCACTGCTACAAAAAAAAAAAAAGCTGACCATGGTGGCATGTGCCTGTAGTTCCAGCTACCTGGGAAGCCAAGGTGGGAGGATTGCCTGAGCCAGGGAGATTGAGGCTGCAGTGAGCCACGATCATGCTACTGCACTCCAGCCTGAGCAACAGAGCAAGACCCTGTCTCAAAAAAAAAAAAAAGATAAAAAATTTCAAACAACCAGGTATTTATAACAGTGATTACATGCTTGTGAGTTGTAGCTTTTTGAAGGCTGAGAAGATGACCGCTCTGTGGGTCTTGTGTCTTGGGAGGGAGTTTGGTGTAATGGAAAGGCTTTGGCACCCCGCTCGAGTTGATTTCTGAGCTCTACCACTTACTTGCTAAGTAAGCTTGATCTCCTTCAGCCTGTTTCCTCATCAGTAAACTAGAGATGGTCCTGCCTAGCTCACAGAATTGCTGTGAGGACTAAATGGCGTCATGTTTATAATGTGCCTGTTGTTAAAATGCTGGCATCGAGTTACCAGTTACCATTTTTAAATGGCATCTTTTATATTGTTAATTACTGTTAAGAATAACTTTGCTACTCTTGCTCCATAGGGCTGACCAATTTGAGTATGTAATGTATGGGAAAGTATACAGGATTGAGGGAGACGAAACTTCTACTGAAGCGGCAACACGCCTGTAAGTTACATGATCTTGTGAGGATTGTTTTCCCCCTCCCTGTTCTGAGACTTTGAGTTATGCTTCTGCTTCCTCTGTTGGGTCCTTCTCCTTAGGCACCTCAGACATAGGTGGGAACTAGAAAGAAATGGTTATTAGAGCAGTTTCCAGTCTGAATTGTAGACTGCCCTTTGTCAGGCCCTCCTGGCCTAGTGGTCCAGAAGAGAAACTGGTCATCTCCCTGTTAAAGTATGGAGGAACCAAATGCAGCATTAAGTGATTATACTATTAGGCTGTGTGTGTGTGTGTGTGTGTGTGTCTTTTCCTTAAAATCTTATTAAAACAATATGTGCTGTTTGTAAGTAATTTGAAATGCGGAAGAGAATGTGAAGAAGAAAAAAAACCCTGTCATTCCATACCCAGAGAGAACCTTTTACATAGACTTTTTTGCATATCCTAGTGTTCTTTTTTTAAATTTATTTTTAATTTTTTGTTAATATCCTAGTGTTCTTAACATCTATATTTTTCCTTTGAGACTGCGGTGTTAATTACCTTTTTTCTGCTTTTTGCTTAACATTATGTAAAACATGTTTTGGCCGGGCGTGGTGGCTCACACCTGTAATCCCAACATTTTGTGAGGCCGAGGTGGGTGGATCACCAGGTCAGGAGTTTGAGACCAGCCTGGCCAACATAGTGAAACCCCGTCTCTACTAAAAAAATTACAAAAAATTAGCTGGGCATGGTGGCAGGTACCTATAATCCAGGTACTTGGGAGGCTGAGCCAGGAGAGTTGCTTGAACCCAGGAGGCGGAGGTTGCAGTGAGCTGAGATCTTGTGCCATTGCACCCCAGCCCAGGAGACAGAGAGAGACTCCGTCTCAAAAAAAAAGAAAAAGAAAAAGAAAATGTTTCCCCATGTTAGTGTAAAGCTTTCTTAAACATTTTAATAGTTAGATAACATTTCAGTAAGTGGATCCCATTCCCCTGATTTGGAGCATATAGGTGTTTTTCGACTTTGCTAATAGAAAGAACAATGCTGGCTGGGCGCAGTGGCTGATGTCTCTAATCCCAGCACTCTAGGAGGCTGAGGTGAGTGGATCACCTGAGGTTGAGAGTTTGAGAGCAGCCTGACCAACCTGGAGAAACCCCATCTCTATTAAAAATATAAAATTAGCCAGGTGTGGTGGTGTACACCTGTAATCCCAGCTACTTGGGAGGCTGAGGCAGGAGAACTGCTTGAAACCGGGAGGCAGAGGTTGCGGTGAGCCAAGATCACACCACTGCACTCCAGCCTGATCAACAAGAGAGAAACTCTGTCCCAAAGAAAAAAAGAACAGTGCCTTACACATATCTGTACATTCATCTTTGTCAGAATTTTGGTTCCTAGTGACAAAACAGTAGAAAGATGTTATTCTCTTTGTTAGGCTGAGATGGAGAGCTGCTGAGTAGTAGCTGCTCCAGACTCATGGCATGCGGCCTTCTGTTTCAGCTCTGCCTACGTGTCCTATGGGGGCCTGCTCATGAGGCTGCAGGGGGATGCCAACAACCTGCATGGATTTGAGGTGGATTCCAGAGTTTATCTGCTGATGAAGAAGCTAGCCTTCTGAACCTCGCCTGAAGCCAGCCTTGCTGCCACGTCACTCAGGTCCTGGACATCGTTCTAGCTTGAGTTGCAGCTGCTCTTGATTACCTGTTGAGGAGGGGCTGGTTCCCTGTCCACTGTGGCTGCATCTTTAACTGGCCTGCACTCAGTTAGAAACTCACTCGCCTGTGAAAGACACAGTGGGAGAGCTTAAAATCAATAGGAAGCTTTGTGTATATGATTTTTAATCAAATGTTACTTTTTCAGACTGCCCCTCCCCTTTTTGTAAAAAGTTCGTTTACTGTAAAATCATTTTTTCCAATTTGTCTGTGGTGTACTGTTTCTGGCCCGCAGCCAGCTGATCACTTGCCATTGTAGGATCTATTCCAGCCTTTTGGTATCTGGGTTCAGGGTTATCCCAGTCTCCTGGCTGACTGTTCCCAACGTTTATCCTCCAGTGTGGTTTTCTGTCTGGGAGAGGGAGTGTTGTGCTTTTGGCTCCTGAGGGCACCCCAGGCCCAGAAGATACCACCCATTTGGCACAGAAGTTTGAATTGGCAAGGAGCCCTGCTCGTGTCCTTCCAACACTTTCAGTCTCTTAGAGAGTCAGTTCACATTGACTTGAATGAGTCACTTGCATAGTCTCATTATTTCATTATTTTTGTGGAAGATTTGGGTAGAGGCTTTTAGCTACAGGCATGGGGGATGACTCTGAAGAGTCGGAGGAGAGGACTTGGTGCTTCCGGAGGCAGGTGGAGGAGCTGGCTCTCTGCTCTACATTCCAGTGGTGACCCGGGAGGGAGGGTAAGTGGAAGTGGACAGGGCAGCAATACCAATGAAGTTGGCAGGCCAGAGGCAGGGCCAGTGCCAGGATAATGCAGCAGCCTGACTACAGTCACCAACTTATGAGTTGGGGAAGAAAAAGTATTAAGGAAATGGCTATGATGATAAGGACTCCAGCATGTGAGCTGGCTCTTCTGCTTGGTATTAGAGGTCTCTAGGAAAGCATGTGGGATTCTGTTTTCCCCTAAGAAGTTTAGGGCTAACAATCTGAAAAGGTTCTCTGTGTGTATTAAACAGTTGTCTGTTTGATCTGGCTTTGCCTGGGAGCTGGTCCCCCTGCTGGGATACCTGGGGTATTTCCTTCCCCATCATTTTCAAGTCTTTACATGAGGTGTTAGAAATAGTATTTAGGGAAATGGGTTGAAAATGAACGGCCTCAGCAGGGAGGAGGAAGAGGTGTTTCTTTTACCTTACTTTGGGTGGAATAGGGGGAGTAGATATACTGGGGGTTGGGATGAATTTTTATGAAATCCTGGAATCTTTCCATGAGATGAGTTTTTTTTTTGTGGGGTTGGAGAAGAACATATTTAAATTAGAGTGAGAGAAATGGATTACCTGTAATAGTGTGTAGGTTACCACGGACTGTCCTGGTGGTCCTTGGGTAGCAGAAAAAAGAACTGGCATAACATTGGATAGGGATAGGAGTGTTCTGGTTGTGTTTTTTGTGTTAGTGGGAAGAAGGGATGGGACCAACCAGACTGATCTAGGAATCGGTTAGATTTGTACGTAATAGGGGCAGGTAAGTTTATACTGGAGAAGCCCATGAGTGATTTGCATTTACCCTCAACTGGAGTAAGTCAAATGCCAATACGAGATGCCTGGAAGTTTCTGGCCACATTTGCAGTTTGCCATTCCTGTCTGTCATTCGTCTGTGCTGAGAACCCATCACTGACTGGTGCCATTGGTGTATCCTGTCCCAGGTGCTGGCACTTCCGTGTGCTATGAAGTGTTTCATTTGATTGTTACATTTACCCTCGCTCCATATGTCAGTAAGTTACAGTTTCCGCTTACCGTTCCCTTGACTACATTCTAGAATTTGTAGTGTGGATGAGCTAATTATCTCCCATGTAGAAACTGACACTATTTGAGATTTGGACATTTTTGAGCTCTGTGCATTTGTTGATTCCTTCTCTATGGAAACTATTCTGTCCTTGAAGGGAGAGTGGGACATGGGGAGATGTCTAAATTGGTCACCTCCACCAAAAACATTGGTTTTCTCCTCAAATGGATCTACTCCCTAAGGACTTGGATGTCTTTCCCAGTAAATAGAATCATTCAGTGACATATAGGACAGTGTAACAAACTGGGGAGAGTATGGACCTAGAGTGAGGTCAGACTGGGTGCCTCCTCTCTGGCCTGCAGGCTGTGGCACCACTGATAACTCACCTGGCTTCTCTGAGCCTCAGTTTCCTCATCTCTAAAATAGAAAACTCTGCCTTACAGAGTTGTGTCAAAGTTACAAAAGGTAAGGTACACAAGGTTCCTGGCACATTGCCTTTCATTCCACTGCTTTGGAATGCCTTTGGTGACCCTGGGGTATTTGTGGCAGTGTTTGGATTTCTGGGTTCCTGGCTCCTCTACCTCTGTGGTAGCCTCTCCTTCCTCTGGGGTGGGGGAGAGGAAGAAGCTTCCACTAATTTTCCTGCAGGAACCTCTGGAGGCAGCAGGTTGACTTTTGCAATGGAGTGTGTGTTTTTGTGCAACATAAACCTTTTCCTGAGCACCAGAGCAGCACTTATTTGCAATGCCCCATAAGCCTGACTCCTTTTGTAGAGAGCCCCTGGCGGAGTTCCTGGTGGTCATGCAGGGCTGCTTTTTAGGTGCATTTGCGGGAACTGGGAAGTGAGCCTTCCACTTGCACTGGGCTTGGGCTTGTTCTGCTGCGGGAGCTCAAGGAGCCTGACTCGTGCCACTTCCTGCACTTCCCCCTGACCTCCACAGGAGGGAGGCAGGCATCCATGCCTGGCAACGCCTCCTGCTGAGCTGCCAAAGCTCTGGCTGTTTGCTCAGCTGGCATATCCAGGTCCTGTCTTTACTGAACTGTCTGCACAGGCTTACCTGGGGTGTGAGGCTCTCCAAGGCTTCCTGTTAGCTTTTTTGTTGGGGGCGGAAGGGCGAGGGGATCTATTGCCACCCTCGAAGAACATCTTTCCTTTGCTTTTTAGGGAGTTTTCGGGTGCTCTCATTTATTCCTTATATAGGCTCACTTTTGTCTATTGTATAGGGACAGGCTTTCTAAGAGACAGCCTATTCATTTCTCCAGAGTAAAGATCTGTTAAGAATATGGGATCAGAGTCCCACTGAGAATGATAATAAAGGGATGGGGGCATTGGAAGGCCTTGAACTTGAAGCAAAGGAAACTACCCTTTCTCTGTTTTTTGACGCAAGGTTAGTCCCTCCCTCTGTTCAAATGCCAGGCCAGCCCAGGCCTTTGCAAAATTATCATAGAAAAAGAGCATATAGAGAAGCAGTGAGTTGCAAATTTCTGCAGAAAACAGACCAAAGATCTAGCTGCTCTGATGAATATTGTTGATAGCTTTAAAAAATAGCTTCTGAGGCCAGGCGTGGTGGCTCATGCCTGTAATCTCAGCACTTTGGAAGGCCAAGGCAGGTGGATCACCTCAGGTCAGGAGTTTGAGACCAGCCTGGCCAACAGTGAAACCCTGTCTCTACCAAAAATATAAACATTACCCAGGCATGGTGGCTCATGCCTATAGTCCCAGCTACTCGAGAGGCTGAGGCAGGAGAATCGCTTGAACCTGGGAAGTGGAGGTTGCAGTGAGCAGAGATCGTGCCATTGCACTCCAGCCTGGGTGACAGAGTGAGACTCCATCTAAAAAACAAAAAAAAATTCTGAAGGTTTCTAATGTACAGTGAAAAATGATCCTTTTTCAGTCCTGTGTATTCCCTTTTCCAGGGCTTCAGTCTTCAGGAGAAAGTAGGAAATCTTGTCCAGTTGTCCCCTAGGGGCTCCCCACGGGGAAGGTAGCTGCACATGAGACAATGCTGACATCAGCAGTGCCTGAGAACCTTACCCTTCCTGAGACAGATTCTGGGAGTGGGTGTGGGATGTGTTTAGAGTAGGGCTGGTAGGGGTGGGCGTAGGAGCAGAAGGGTCAGGAAGGCGGGGGGTGGAGCTGGATCACAGGGGTGGGCAAGGTGGGTGAGAGGGAAGAATGTGTGCTGCCCAGTAGCGGGATGGGTTGGGGAAGAATATCTAGGCTGGAGGTTGGGTGGCAGGGAGCCTGTGTCTGATGTTCCTGGGGGAAAGGTCCAGGGTTCTTAGGGTCCTGCGTGAGGGTCCAGGAAAGAGTCCATAAGTTCCATTCATCTGGTGTGTCCTGTTCAGGTACCTGGGGATTGGTCCAGGGACTGGAGGTTTGGTTCAGCAGACCAGGAATCTTGGCTCTGAATCCCAGCTGCTGCTTCAGGAGCCCAGAGTCAGTAGTTCTGGCCGAGGCAGTAAAGTTTGTCTCCAACAATCCAGAAGTCCTGTGTGGGAGCTCGTTCAGTGTGAGGACTGGAGAGGTTCTGCTTGGGACAGCTGTGGTAGGTGGGGCCTGCCTGTGCAGAGGGTGGGCCGTCCTACAATCAGCAGGAAACGCACCTTTCCTCGGAGCAGGTGTTGGAAGCTCAGGAAGATGTCATTGGGATCCTTGTGAGCTGTGGTCCTTCCCTGTGGAGGAAACTGAGGGCAGAGGATGGCCCTGAGGCCAGAGACCAGGGCCCGATCTCAGACCTCCCTTGTCTAAGTAGGAAAGGCAGGATAGCAGCACCCAGGAGTTGTGGCTGGCAGGGAGCACTCTCAGGAGACCAGCTCCTCTGGCCTTGAGCTCCCTGGAAGACCGCTTCTTCCTTCAGGCCTTCTAGGGGAATGAGTCAGAAAGGAACATTTTCTACAGATGCCTGGACTGGGGACTTACCTGGGTTCCAAGGAGGCCCTGGAGGGCCCCAAGGAGGAGACGGACCTGTCCAGAAAGCTGCCCCAGCAGGGATGAGAGGCAAGTGGGTCCCAGTTGTCCCCGTGCTGCCATCACTCCCTCCAGCAGGAGGGTCACAGCTCCCAGAATGTCCTGTGCCTTAGTCTGCTCCTGAGAAAGAGATGGAAGGGAGAAGCGTACTGCTTCAAAGGGCACATTAAGAGCGGGTGGGGAGCCTGTAGGAGTAGCCAGCAGAGTGAATCATACGGGCTGAGACCTGGACCGGACCAGGGTCCCACCCAGCGCAGGAATTCCTTCACAGTCTCCCGACAGTTGGTCAGCAGCCTCTGCTTCAAAAACGCCGGCGTCCGAGGATCCAGTGGACTTCAGTGAGGAGAGATCCTTGTTTTCTTATGTTGCTGACATCTGCCCTGTTACAGCTTTTACCTCTTGGTTCTAGTGCTGCAAATCTACTTTTTCTGCTTCAAAGCCTTAGGACCAAACGATTTTTAAACTGAATGAAGGCCGGGCATGGTGGTTCACACCTATAATCCCAGCA